TCATCACATTGGTTACGAATTTAATTCTTTCTCTTTTTGTCGTAATCTTTTCAATTATATATCATTGCATTGTGAGTCTAAATCAAATAATATGATAATTACGATATTTAATATATAATATTTTATGAAATGGTATATACATATATAATATTTTTCTGAATTTTTGATTTCTTTTATATTATTACAAATGCATTTTGCTCCTAAAATGTAGGAACAGAAAATGGATAATAACTAGCGCATTTAATAGCGCAAATAATGTGCAATAAATAACGTTTTGTATAAAGTAATGTGCAACATTACAAAATGTACAATATTGCAATAGTACAAAATAAATGAAATTTTATAATAAATAATATATGTAAAAGTTTTATTATTTTATATACAATATTTATTTATTATCATTTTTTAATTTGTCACAATTTTTGAGCATTTTTTAGCATGAATTCAAAATTTAGAAAATAATGCGTTTAAAAAACTGGAGAGAATGGCTAAAACATGGCGGACCAATCACAAGTGATACCTGTATAGCGTCACTCTGATTGTAGGCTCTCTATGTTAGCGTAGATATTTCTAAAATAATTTCGATAATTTCATTTTTATCAATGTACCTTTACTTATCTATGTCGTTTAATGCTGTTGCATCTAACCCTAAAACTGACAGTCTGTTGGACAGACTGAAACCGTATATCTCTTTCTCTCTCTCGCAGAATTTCGCTAAAATATGACGTTGTCTCTCGTATGTCGCCACTCTGATTATAGGCTCTCTAAAAGGCAAGTGAAATGCTGAGACCGTTTTATCTCCGTTAGCCGTATTGCAAATAAGGATGCAAACAGACAGTCAACCTCGTCACAATGGCAGAGAACGTTGGCTGCACATACAAGCGGATCTGCCGCGACGAATTCGTGCTCATCCATTTAACTTTGGGTAGCAGATCCGTGAATCCGTCGCAGAAAATCCGCCCGCGTGTATAGACGCCTCTTCGTCACGTCGCAGTGACAAAGTCGGCTGACTGTTCGCGCATCCCCATTTGCAATATAACTAACATAAACATTAGAACGAGTTGAATATTTCATCCACCCTTAAAGATTGAATCACATTTAGAAATATGTTCCTCGAATGCAACAGTTCACTCACAAAATCACCGTCAATCGTTATTCACTATACCCATGCACTTTCAACATCTTGATATTACTGAGGGGCTTTTATACACACTGTTGTCGCTTGCCGATGAATTTTCAAATTTATAATTTTTAATCCAAGAATAAATAGTTTGTAAATAATGAGATTGAGTTTGTTAGAATCATATAATAATTTTAGAAACAAGAATACAATTTTAGGAATAAAGTACTTACTTGAGAATATTTTATACTTAAGTGAAAGTAAATAGTATTCAAGAATAAAAATATACATGAATCAGGAATTCATTTTTTTTCTATGTATAAATATATCTTTGACTATAAAATGATAAATGTTTTTAATTGCCACTCCTAGCATCTCGCGTTGATGATCTTGTTCACGGCTAAAGCGGAATTCTTCGATATTGCATCTCATTATTGTTGCATTAGCATTCTCTGTTTTCACTTTGATCCTCGTCCGATGACAATATTTTTCTGTTGTTTTTGTTTCAAATTCAAATAGCGGTTTGAACAAGCAGAAAAGATTTATCTCTCTTGACACTCATAATATAAGGACAATTATTCTAGACAACATTCGTGCTAAAAAATCTTCAGAAGATATTTTTTTAAGACTTCAAAGGGAAAAGGAAACTCTAATTTAATAACAACGTAGTCATTATCAGTTATAATATTAACACATATTGCTTTAATGTCGTCTTTATAATGTCTTAAAGAATAAAGCTCATGAATGTATTTGGTAAAACCGAGCGATTACATTTTAAAATTAATAATTGCAATTTGTATATATAATATTTTTTGCTTTTTTTAACCATTTATTTTATAATACTCTCTTTTTATTTACAAACAATTTATGGAATATTTGAGAATAATTTCACAGTATAATCCAGTTGCTCAATAAATTATTTATTTATTAGAAGTGCAAATCATATACAATACTTGACTTCAAAATTAAACGTGTTTAAAAGAGTTACAGTGCATTCGAGTTATGTATAATAATAATAATAATAATAAT